TGGCAGCGGTGGCCATCATGTTTGCTGGTTTCTTTCGGTTCGACGACGCTGCCGAAATTTGCGTGCATGTGGACTTGCTGTTGATTTCTGCATCCCACATGGAGATCTTCATTCCCCGCTCGAAGACAGATCAGCTCATGCGGGGCCACTGGGTAGTCATCACACGCTCTGGTGGCCCATGCTGTCCAGTCGGTCTTACCGAGCGTTTGCTGGAGCTAGGTGGCTACCGCAGACAGCCAGTATCAGTAGATGAAGATGTAGGACCGCTCCTCCGACCGGTTCAATGGACGCAACGTGGCGGGTACCTCTCGGGTCCTCTGACCGGTACACGAGAAGCTCCAGTGCATTCGCTGTCCTACGCGGCTTTCCGCACACGACTGCTAAAAATGGTACCCTTGGCTGGCATCAAGAGAAACATTACGGCACACTCCATGCGTATAGGCGGGAACAGCACGGCAGCGGACCGTGGAGTGCCGGCAGAACTGCGCAAGGCTCACGGCCGTTGGCGCACGGACGCCATGGTACAGCACTACACGCGGCGCGACACTGCAGCCAAACTCGAAGTCTCCCGCCGCCTAGGCCTCGCCGGTGAGTGGGTATCTCTTCGGTCTGCAGTGTAAGGGCCCTTGGCAGCCTGTCTCCCGGTTTTCCGCCTCTATCATTCCTCGCACTGTCAGCCAGCATGTTCGAGTCGACATAGCCATGAGAATACGGTTAAGGGAGACAGGAGCACAGAATTGTTGACTTAGATACGACGGAGCGAAGCGATCGGAGTCTCTAAGTCTGGTTCTGTGCGACTGTCGTACAACCGTATTGGAATGGCGAGTACTAATTGCTTCAGCTCTTTCGTTTCAGGCATTCTGCCTTTCACTCAGTAGCTAGCTTCGACTTCCCGCCCACCTTCCCCGCTTCGGGGTCGATATCTCTTCGTTCACCCCTCCCCTCTTTTTTCCTTCTTCACTGACCAGTTTCAGGCACCTCCGCACCGGGCTCGGCTAGCGGCGGACAGGTAGACGATGCCCGCTGAGGAGTGGCTTGTCAGCAGGCGGGCCGACAGCAGAGACTTGAGCCGTTCTGGCTGCAGTTGGGTCGTTTTAGCCTTGATGAGTGGTCTTGGGAGTCCGTGGAGAGGGCGCTCTTCGCTTCGGTTCAGTCGGTCTCCGGGTCGGGCTTTAGCACGTTAGGGTCGCCGTTTTTGTGTTTGGTAGTGGTGGTCGTTGGGCGTACTTTGGCCTAGCGTCTCGTGTTGTCTGTCGCGCGCGCGCGTTTTTTTTTTCCCTGGGGGTGTGTGTGTTGTTGGCCGCGCGGTACCGGTGCGGTGGCCGTAGGGGCCGCTTTCGCACGGCCATTCGGTTGGCTTGAGTTGTGTTCTACTGCAGTGTAAGGGCCCTTGGCAGCCTGTCTCCCGGTTTTCCGCCTCTATCATTCCTCGCACTGTCAGCCAGCATGTTCGAGTCGACATAGCCATGAGAATACGGTTAAGGGAGACAGGAGCACAGAACGGCGACAGTCGCGACAACGGCGACAACGGCGACAACGGCGACAATGGCGACAGCCGCTACAATGGCGACAGCCGCTACAATGGCGACAAGAGCGACAAACGCAACAGTCGCAGCAGACGCGTTGCGTGCAACAGTTGTGCTCTAGGTCATCGGTGCACAGTGCATGCCGGGTTCCGGGGCTCACCTACCACGCCTACTGTACATATATTTTGGAGCTGTAGCATTTTCGTTATTGGGCTACCTCTGCAAGCCCGCCGGCTTTCCTCAGAGCCGGAAAAGGGCGGGCCCCCCTGCATATATCCGTACAGGCCGGTGCTAGGGCGGCATGTGTGATAATTGATGGGTAGTGCCAACGTGGTGAGAGCTGTGCTTGTTGCAGCAGTGCTGATGCGGTGGGAGCTATGCTTGTCAGAGCACAGGAGGCAGGACGCTGGGGCTCATAACCTTTTGAAGAGACGGTGTCTCCCTGGAACCTAGCAGACATGGTGAAGAGTCATTGGCTGTTACACG